ATATCTTGTGGTAAAAGGCATACATTAGCCTTAGTGCCGTCTAGAGGGAGAGTTTACGCTTGGGGTTTGGGAGGCGCTGGACAATTGGGAAATCGTGCTTCACAGAGTGCTACAACACCACAAGTCGTTCTAGGACCTTGGTCTTCGCCGAGTGGATCATCAGTGATGCTCGACCTACATTATAGCCCTCAAATCGACTGTGTTGTTAAGCACATCTTTAGTGGAGGCGATCATTGCTTTGTTACGATCAGTAACAAAAAAGTGTGTTTTTCCATATTACTCATGCTCTTATTGTTAAGTTATTTTTCAAATTTATAAATTTATATCAGTTTTCTTTTTGAAAAAGAAAAAAAGAGCACAACGGAATATTTAATTTTGCATCATTTCTGTAATAAGATATAAAAAAATTATCTTTACTTAAATATATTTACAGGATAATATAGAACCGAGCGACTGTAGAATATTAGGGCCGACTTCCCAAATTCTTACAGTGATGGAAGAAAAGCTAGCCGAATGTCAGAATATCCCACCAGGTTCACCAGTGAATCATGAATTAATGACGTAAGTGAAAAATATGCATATTAAAGAAAAATTATGCAATCTAATACAGAAATTAGGCGCTCGCACTTTTTTTTCGTATTTTTATTATTGCTGAGACATAATGTCTCAATAGATTTAATCTAATCGATTTTCCCATAAGATTTTCACCTCAGTTATCGTAGATTTTAAGTGTTTATACGATATTTTTCAGGTATCTAGAAACTGTATTCAAAAGTCAAGCGTGTATAAATGCATCCTTTTTGCTCAGTAATGACGCGCATTATGGATGTTCGAGCAAACATCATGGAATTAATATCGACTACGCTATCAGATTATTTGGAATTATTTCAGAACTGGACAACGGCACGATTCAAGAACTAGTACGTATTCACCTACATAACCACACCGAATGCAAAAGTTTATTTTATCGCATAAACGTCACACAAGTTTAATTGCTATATATAGCAAACTGATCTAATTCAATGTTGATATTCAATGCAGTCAAGAAAAGGAGTAAATTATTTACACATACAAACATGAATGTTCAAACATTTGAGTTCGCTCGGTATTTGTTAAATTTATACTCAACTTACGGATACATGTAAAATACTGATCGATCTCTAAATGGTGACGTTTTCATTTCAGATTTTTGCATGCGTAACTGAAAGTCTGATACCATCGTTTGTTGACTCTCCGCCTGATGTGGAATCCTTAAGAGTGTACTTAACGCTACCGCTATATCATCGCTTCGCAAATCTGTCCAACTATAGCTCTTTGCAAACGCCATTCTGTAAGGCAGTATTGAAATTGAAAGCTGAGGCTTGTAAGATCGTAGGCATATGGTGGAGCTCAGCCCCTTCGTACTACTTCGAGAGACTCGTGAGAATGTACAAGTCCGTGGTGCTGCACTTTGTGAAACAGTCGACGGCGGATAAAGTAAATTGCGCGCAAAAATGTTCACATAAATGATAAGCGAATCAAGCGATTAGAAAGAAAAGATTTTCACAAATTTTTTGAGCTTTTCTATGTTGCATTATAAGTTTAATAATCAAAAAATTGTTCTGTAACTGATTCTTGTTTCCGCTGTAAAAGAATAAGTCAATTGCAAAATTACAAAAATATTTTTATATATAAGATACTTTATGAAAATTTTGTCTTAAAGAGAGATGTAGATTTCTTTTATATGATAATTTTGGAGAACATGTTTCCACAGGTCATCATGTGGACTGAAAGCCTGCAATGTGCTTTACAACTATTAGGACTATTATATAAACTAAATATCATAGCTGGTATACGAGTACCCCACGAGACTTTCCATTTGTCAGAATTATCGGAATTTGTAGATATTGCTCATGAATACTGCAAATGGCTAACAGAAGAAGATCGGTCTTTTGTAAGTGATTCTAAATTTGATGTTCTCCACTTAATTCATGTATATAGTGAATTAAGTAACATTGTACTCATTGCTGTGCACATATAATATTAAAATTCCTATAATTTTTCAGTACCGTAAAATATATTTCTGTAATTATCCTTTCCTGTTCGATGCCGAGGCGAAAACAAAGTTGCTCGAAACCGATCAATCTATACAGGTACAAGAAAGAATCTATTTAAAAATAATCGTGTGCATTGTGTAATAAACTATATTATATTAGATGCAATCCGCGATGAATGAAGTGGCATCACGAGTTGTGAGAGATATAATGCTCGGAACACCTAGCCTAAATTTTCAACAGTATAGTCAATTTGTAATATTGCATGTATCACGGAATAACATAGTGAATGACACTCTGGATCAACTGCTGAAATACGATTCTAATGAATTAAAGAGACCACTTAGAGTAAGTATTAAAAATTTCTAACGCCTTTTTAAAGATTTATAGCCTTTTTTTAAGAATTAGATAAATGTTTTGAATTTATTAAAATTCAATATTACATTTTAAAAGAAATGTCATAAATATTCTAAATGTTATAGTGTATAATTTTTTACAAGCACTAGATAATTAACATATAGTTACAGCATTCAAATTCTTTCAGGTTAAATTTCGTGATGAAGAGGCTGAAGATGTGGGTGGCGTGAGGAAAGAATTTTTTATGCTTCTCTTCGCAGAAATTCTCGATTTTAAATATGGTATGTTCCAAGAATACGAAGAAACAAGGACAATTTGGTTCAGTTCAGATTCATTAGAAGAAGAAGTTATGTATTTTCTAATTGGCGTTCTCTGCGGCTTAGCCATTTACAATTTTGTAATTATCAATTTACCATTTCCACTGGTAATGTATAAGAAACTTTTGGGAGAATCGGTCGGACTAAGTGATATCAAAGAAATGTCACCGACGATAGCTAGGTATTTCGTTCATTCCCAAAACTATACGTTATTTATCACATAAATTAATTATCAATGAATATATGCATTATAGAAGTTTAGAAAGTGTTCTCGAATACAACGAATCGGATTTTGAAGAAGTATACGGTTTGTGCTTCGAGATAAGCAGAGAAGTGTTTGGCGAACTCAAGAACTTCGAATTGATACCCGGAGGTGATAAAATTCCTGTAACATTAAAAAATAAGTATGTAAACATTGCATGTATATCGACATTGGTAATAATAATAATAATAATAGAAGAAGAAAAAGAAGAAAAGGAAAGCAAAACGCTTTTGTTTGCAGGCAACAATACGTTGACCTTTACGTGGATTATATATTAAACAAATCAATAGAAACGCAATTCAAAGCGTTTCATAAAGGCTTTCATAATGTATGCGGTGGAAGGGTATTAGAGCTATTTCGTAGTCACGAATTGATGTCGCTTCTCATTGGCAATGAGAATTATGATTGGGAAGAATTGGAGAAGAATGCCACGTATAAGGACTGCTATTCCAAAAATCATCCTACTATCATGCTCTTCTGGCAGGTCTTTCATGAATTGCCATTGGAGGAGAAGAAGAAATTTCTACTTTTCTTAACAGGCAGTGACAGAATACCTATACAGGGCATGAAAGCTATAAAAGTAAGAGAAAGTAACATATTATTAAATTAGAATATATATATATATA